GTGCGCCGAGTCAAAACTATTAAGAATGTTTTTTTATTATTAAAATATTTAATTTATTGACATATTTTTTTACAAAATAAAATTTTATTTTTAAACTTTCTTTTATTACATAAAAATGTATTAAATTAAAATTATTAATATATTACCGTTTTATAATAAAAACACATAAAAATTAATCATAATAAAACCATTGTGTATAATACATCTTTTCAGCTACAAAAATATTACTACCCAAAATATTAGTTTTTTTCAAAAGTTATGAGTTGCCCGACTTTTGATTTCTTTTCTCATTATAGAAAAACAGCACAATATTTTAAAATATACAAAAATAACCCACATTCTTAACGTCAAAACAATTTCTAAATAAAATACACAAAACATTTGATAAACATAGTAATGTTTCGAAAAGTCTTTTGAATGGTTTTACTTTTGTTCAAAGCATCAGCTTTATCGATATCCATTTTTCTTTTTTCAAGTATTTCTTGTTATTTAAAAAATAACACAATTGATCAAAGTGTTATTGATTTATCTACATCGTCAAAATATTTAGACATAGATAACGAGCAGACTTTGTTATAACTACCAAATCCAAAGCTCTTATATTATTTAGACGATCCTCGTAAAGTCTTCCAAATTTGCAATTTGAAAAACGACCTCTTCAACATCAATTTATACTTCTTGAAAATGAAGTTTTTTATTTCTAAAACTATAATAATACCATTATTTACTATTTTTTATTCTTTATTATCTTTAAATTTTGGACGATTAAATCAATCAAATAAACGTGATTTATGATATATAATTGTGGTTAAGTACGTGGCAGCGTCAGAACTCAACAGGCATCAAAAAATAGCCAATGAATTCACTGATTATATTGTTTTTAAAGATACGTTTAAATAAAAATTGTAAGTACTCGAACTAGACAAAGTACCACATATTTACAAAAAATATAAATGTGGAAATGAATAACAATTTAAGTTAAAAAAATTAACAAATAAACCATATATTTAAAGATTATTTAATAATTCTTTATTTGCGCATTTATAATATTTGTTATAATATAATATAATTAACAATATATATAAATACATTAAATTGAAATAATTTGACTAATAGTTTGTTGTGTACTTTACCTGTTCAACACAGGCATTCTAGGAATCAATCTTTCTTTGGCTTCAACACGTATCTGACGAGCTGCATTTTCCTGTTTGGTTTAGATACTCTTTTTAAAAGAGAAAATGACCGTTCTACTGTGCATGTTGTGACTGCAATCAAATTAAGCTCCATGCATAAGTTAATTAATTTTGGAAAGACGTTTCTTGTAAACATTTCCTTTAATAAGTTAGGAGCTGTCAGGTGTTTTTCTGGACACTCACTCAAATATAAATTCATAATGTTGTTTTTCGAATCTTTGAAAAACATTCTTTGTTTGAGTATTACAAGCTTTTGGTTTATTATAACTTACTCAAAGAAGATGCACAATCTGAATCGGGCAATGAATCGTAGTAATGACCATTTGGTTTACACCTTTCTATAATTACACGTTCTTCAAAAGAACATCGAATTTGTTTAGATTTATAACATAATTTATCATTGTTACTAACCTTGTCGACTATATCGGTATTGCCCAGCATCCAATCATTTATCAGAATCGCTTCTTCTTTGTATTGTTTGTACTCTGTTGCACAATCGATGTTGAAATTTAGCATGTACAAATTCATTTTTATTAATAGACTTTTACATGAAACTTTTGTTTGTATTTTAACAAAATCATTGTAAGTGTTTATCTCAAGGTCTTCTTCTTTCAATCCACACTCCCCAAATATTTCAAAACACGTCGACTTTCTCAGTGGGTTTGCGAACCTCACGACCAATGCTTGTATAAGACGGTTCACAAATTGGTGACATATTATTCGGAGGTGTTTTAATTTGTCTTTTTTGTTTTCCCGAATAAAAAACATATTTTCAAAAAGGTGTTTTTGTTGTCGTCTAAATTGTTTTTGATATTAATATAATACTTTATACTGTCACATATTCTCTGGTAGGCGACAGGGAATTTAACATCGCGTCCTTGTAACCATTCACTTAGGTATTTCATGGGTGCAAACAAATAATCAACAAAATAGAGTGCACCAACAAACATTCAACTATCCAATGAAACCGAATCGAAATGATTTTCATCAACTTGTTTGGCATCGAAATGATAGTTTTGAGAATTTAGGAAATTTCGATAATTATCAAAATTTTCAAAAACAGCAGATGTCACAAACGAAGTGAAAAGGAAACGAGTATTACTTGAACTTGGTATATTTGTTGCACTTCCACTGTT